CCCATCCCTCCCATACCTGCCCTGCCTGCCCCAGCTCCCCGTCCTTTAAAAAAAGCCCCAAGTCACCGGGTACTGCCAGGCAGGGGAGCAATGCCTACTGCTCCCCACTGCCCCACGCTGCATAGGTGAGCCCCCTCGCTCTCCCAGCCCCCCCATGCCTGCCCCGCATGCCCCAGCTCCAGCACTTTAAGAACCCCCCCCCAAGAAAACCCCAGGACTCTCCGCTCCTGCAGCAACCTTGGGGCTTCAGGGAGCTTGTGCAGAGCCCCCACCATGTGGCAGGGGCAGTGGGGATCGCCCCCTGCTGGCAGGATTGGTGAGTACGGGGTTTTTCTTGGGGTTTTTTTTTTTTGTTTTTTTTTTTCCTCGGCTGGAGCTGGGCTGGGCAGGGCAGCCATGGGGGGGCTGGGACAGCAGTGGGGAGTCAGGGGGGGCTCATGCAGAGCCCCCCCCATGCAGTGGGGGGCAGTAGGGATTGCCCCCCACCAGGCAGCACATGCTGAGTTAGGGCTTTTTTTTTTCAAGTGCTGGGAGCTGGGGCGGGCAGGGCAGCCATTGCCAAGCTGGGAGAACGGGCAGGGGATGGGCCTGGGCGATTCGGAGATTTGACCGAATTGATTTGGGGCAGTGATGTGAATCACCGAACTGAATCACTGTCCCCCGAATTGGCTGAATCTGCCTCCAAAGCAAATACTAGCTGCTTCGCACAGGCCTACTTATGACACAATTGGTTCCTGAAAACCGCATCTTGAGTCGAAACGTTGGAACTCGGAACTGATGTTCCCATAGGAAACGATGTTATAATGAGCGATTTGTTCTTGAACCAAGGCCCGATACCCTATTTTCACGAAAAATACCACAGAAGTTTGTACTTGATCAATTATAGATTAGTAACATAGCTACATTAATCTATTTATATTGTAATTAGCAATCATATTGATTTGGAAGGACTTATTTGAGGTGACTTTGCTGGACTTTTTGAGTCTTCTCAGGAGTCTTGGCTGCAGGTTTTTCTGGAGTCTTGTCTGCTTTCTTAAAGGAAGTGGCCAAGGAAGTTTGGACAGATGTTCTCCAGGGAGATGAGTGATACAACAAATTCATTCACTGGCCTGGTGTGACATCGGATCAAGCATTGTACAGTCGAAACTGATGTCAGAAAATTGAAACGGTGCCAATTTATAAACATTGCAAGTGTGAAACATTGTAACTCAAAACATTGTAAGTTGAGGACCGCCTGTATTAGCCTGAGTTTGTGTGGTGGGGTGGAGGGATGCTGGGTTTTGCCTGAGGAAAAGAATTGGATGGATTTTGAGTGATAGAGCTGAAGGATGGTTTACTAGAAAGTTGGTGGCTGGACTTGGGGGGGCAAGGAGAAGCAACATCAGAGCTATGGCTGATGGAAGGGGTATGTTGTTAAAAGTTTCTGGCTGTATCTCTTGCAGATGGTGGTGACACAAGCATCATCAAACCCCGCAGGTATTAGCCACATTTCCAGGGCTGTTTTGTTCCCATTAGAAATGCAGCCCACAGATCATGAGGACCAGAGCTGAAATCCACTTAGCTCTTCACAGGGCAGACTGCACGGTTCACAGCCCATCCCTCTGTATTGGCCTCAGGGTAGGACCTGAGATAAGTTTCTTCCTTCTCACCTTTATCAGGGATCCACAAAGGGGAAAAAAAAAGAACTTTGTTCTCTGTTATGCTGCTTTAAAATGGCCAATAGCTTGAAAGGGTCATAGTATATATTTTTATATGTTTTACTATTAGGCATTCTTCTCTATGGTGGAAAACTCTCTCTCTCTTTTTAAAGGAAGAGGAATTTTAAACATATTTTCCAACGATGGGACCTTCCAGCCAGCTACCTGTACCAGGGTTAGCAGCACTGAGAGTACTAGACTAGACCAGGCTTTTGTCCTCATCAGTGTCAGAGAACTAGTAAAATCATGACAGGCTGAATGGAGGTCCAGCCACTGACAGCAGATGCGTGTTACCTTAAAGAGTTTAATATTTTGTTTCTTTTGGTGCTGTATAACTCCACTGACTGGTGATGAATGCTAGAGGGAAGGGAATCTGTATTAGGCATTCAGCAGCTCACCTCCAACCCGCTCTCCCCGCTGCCTCAATTAAGGTGCAAGCGCTCACACCAGATGTCTTCAAGCCCCCTCCAGCAAAACTGGAAACTAGGAGGCTCAATGTTTCTGCCCTTTACAAGGTACAAACTCACTTTCTCAGTGATTATTCCAGGCTTTTTAACATGGGCAAGCTATTGCAAGAACATGAGCATTAGTTCTGGCTGCTTGAGAACAGCCTGTCCAGCTGTTAGCAAAGCACCTGCTGTGCAAAGACAGATAATGAGAGAGGCAATTTGACTAGCCTGCAAAATGGCCTTTTTTAAGTACTTATCACCACAGGAAGGCACAGAGTCCCTCCCAGCAGTGAGGTTGCTCAAGAGCTCGTTGGAAAGATGAGAATGACAATACAGAAAAATACAGCTTTAAGGTGTCAGGGAGAAACTAACATCTGGATTAAAATAAAACCCAGCAAAGCATCTGACAGCACCACCTTAGTCAGCATGGGGTAGTCTGAGCATACTTGTTTCCTCTGCATGGCTGGTTCCTTGCTTTCAGAAATAAAGCCCAACTATTTCATGCCTTACTGAATCGCTCTCCCCTCTTTGGTTCTGCTCATATTGCTAGCAGTCTGCCTTTGTAATTGTCAGACACATTGTCCCTTCCAGTTAGGGAACAAGCAGCGTTCCCTAACTTTCACAGCTGAGAAAACCAATGCACAGTGGCCCAACTGAACGTGGCTCACTTTTTTTCAGGAGCACTGAGCACCTGCAGCTCTTAGAGAACTGGGGCTACTCAGCACCACTGAAAAATCAGAATAGTACAAGTTGCCTCTCAGAGCAAAGCAGTGCCTGAGCTGGGATTAGAGCCGAGACATTCTCAGCTGCTCACCTTGAGCCAGATTGACCAGGTTCCCTCTCCATAAGCTTGCTACAGTGGGGCTGGCTGAAGCTGAGCTTGCATTTTTTTTTTTTCTGTGTGATAGCATCCTGAGCTTCTCCTTCTGGGATGCAGAACAGCCAGTCTGGAGGGGCAGTAGAGCAGCTGGTTGCATGTTGTGGGTAAAGTTTGACCCAGAGTGCACATCACTCAGTGGCGGTTTGAAGAGAGGAGGAGCCCCAATGCAGCTGGATGCTACTGGGACAAATTCTGGCTGGAGCCATGTCTACAATGCTCAGAACTCAAGTGACAGCAGACACCTGGGTGAGCCTGCACAGCCCTCTCAAATTTGCTGCGCATGCGGAGAGAGAGAGAACATATCCCATGAGTCTTGGTGCTGACATGCTCTAGGATTTTTTTCCCCAGTTGGTTGGTTGGCTTTCAGAGGGAACTGCAGGAAACGAAAACTATCAGGAAGCAGGTGATTTGCCCTGTGTCCTCAGTGCAAAGTTCAACCAACACAGATTACAGTGGAACCTGTGCTCTAACCTATGTCTCTGTGCAGGTAGGCTAGTTCAGATTTAAGGCACCAGGATAGAGGTTTTGCAGCATGAATGGTAAGGGGATAAAGCTAAAACCCAGGTAAGAGACCGGGATAAGCATGTGATATAACACTCATTGCCCAGAATTGCTTCTAAGGATCCCTTTGAGAAAAGATGCCTGTATTTCCTGCTTTGTCCACACAGCTTCTGTCCTGGCCCAGGACTTGGAAGCCATCAGGGCCCAGGTGGCACATGGCCAGAACATCTTAATTCAGAGGGCAAGCACCATTGTTTACAAGTCCCTCACTCAGGCTCATCCCACTGGCATGTTAACAGGTAAACCAGCTTCTTTAAAAATGATTAACTCATGCCAATGAGGTCCTCTAATTATGCTATCTTTAAAACTCCATTGAAGTGGTCCATGCTAGTCTCTGGCAGGGCTGGTGAGGTACTTCAAAGGCCTGGCTTGTAAAGTCACAGTTCCTGGTTCTCATATGTAGTGGGTCGCTTAACCACCAATTTGCTAAATGTCATTTTGGGCTAAGTGGGTACCATTTACTTCTAACTGTCAGGCCACAACAGCATTGCTGGCTCAGTGCTCAGGAGAGCAGGACGAAATTATATTTCCTGCCATGCCACCACCTCCCAACAAGTCCGCCCAGAAGGCAGGGCAGATGTTGTATGACAACCTTATACCTTTTCCTGATGCATTTCACTTTGGTTGTTGAGAGACATGAGAGAATGGAGCGAATGGACTAGCTTGGCATGGCAGTGTCTCTGCATTCCTCCTTCCAGTTCTCCACACTTCAATCTCCCCAGGTGCCCAGTCTGAATTCCCACTATGGTTTACAGCACTGGGCACTGGGTAACTCAACTGTATAACAAGTGGCAAGCGTATAACAAGTGGCACAACAAGTGGCAGAGACGGATGTTGTCTTGGATTGCACTGGGGGTCTTTCCCCATGTGGAAAGAAACTGGAAAAACAAAGGAACATAACAAGAAATAAAACTTTAATGAACTATACAAAACCCCCCCCAACATAACCAGTCCTCTACCAAGGCTGGATCTTCTCTCCATGCTGCCATGTTGGCTCCTGGCACTGGCAGCATTAACAAAAGAAGTGCAACACTTTGCGGAAGAAGTTCCTGAACTCAGCGTTGAAGATAGTGTAGATGATGGGGTTCAGAGCACTGTTGACGTAGCCCAGCCACGTGACAATGCTGGTGACTTTAGTGGGGATGGTGCAGGTTGTACATATCGCTCCTGTGATGTGGACCACAAAGAAGGGTGTCCAGCAAAAGAGGAAAACACCTGTGAAAGAGAAAGGGCAGAATTGGCAAATGCACCATGTACAAGTGGCAACTCAGGGAGGAAGTGAGACTGAGGTGTTGAGCCTGCATGTGCAACTGTGAAGGCAGCACAGGCAACATCCTTTAGAAGCAATGAGCTAAGGCAGATAGCACGCCGCTTCTCTTCCCAGGTCTGTCACTAATCTACTGTTACTTCTCCCTGCTCCTCCTTTCTTCACCTGTTGCTCAGTTCACTTGTCTCTTTAGCCAAGCACTGTGTCTACATTAAAAGCATCATCAGACAAAAATCCACCCTCTGTTGGGACTAGAACCCAGGCTCTATACCCTGTACAGCAGTGCTCTCATCACAGGGCTAAGCAGCCCAAATCAAGCTGTGTGTAGCTTGTATTCCAGGCTACCTCAGGCTTGCCTCAAACTTGAATAGCACACAGCCTATACATCTGCTCAAACCACTGTGCTACAGAAGCTACAGTCTCTCCCTGTTACTTAATGAATATTTATACAAAGCTGAACAGTTTCAAGACAAAAGAATCTTCTGTATTTCTTGCATACAAGAAAGACCAGCTGCTGAAAAACAGGGTGTGCATTTTAAGCATGAAAATACAGTAACAGCAGCTTCTACAGCTTGAGCCTGTGTGGGGAGGAGGGTGAAGGAGACAAAGTAATACTGCATGTCCTGTGCAGGGGTGGGAACATAAGCGCACCTGCTAGTTGCAGCTACTTTCCCTTTCCCCCAGCAGAGACTCCTGCTGCAGGAGCTGTGTTTTTAAAGCAGAGCAGAGCCCTGGGTGCTGGGGCAGTGGTGCCTACTGAATTAGCTGGCAGGCTGATTTCACAGATACTGCTGGCTAGGTTGGGGCCCTCAGCTGAACTGGCAAGTGCTGCTGGCTACCCACCCAACTCAGCTAGAAAACAGAAGAGAGGCTAAGCAGTTTGGTTCAGCCAGCTGACCAGGAGCAAATGTGCTCCTGGTCAGCTGGGCAGCAGGGGGTGGGAGACTGCTGCCTGCAGCTGGGGCAGGCTCTGCCATGGGAGCTCAGGCAAAGACAATACCCCCCTGCCCTGGCAGCAGGGAGCTCCCAGCCCACACTGAGCAATAGCAGGGCCAGGGTTGGAAGCTCCCAGCTGCCAGGGCAGGGGGACATTTTCCCCGCCCAGGGTTTGATGGCAGAGCCCGCCTCAGCAGCAAGAGCCTAGAGCTCCTCCTGGCTGCTGCAGGGGCCAGTTGCAGGGCCGCAGGGAGTGGGAGCAATCTGCTGCTAGAAGCAGAAAATCTTTTCCCGTGTTCCTGCACATGTAGAGCCATGCTTGGGAGACTTTAGTCTCAGAGTAATTTACTCTCGAGTAAACTGCTCCCAGATTACTTGCACGTGTACACCCACTCAAATCTAGGATTGCTGTACCCCATGCAGATGAACTGCACCCTAAAGGAAGGGCAGGCAGCACCACTCAGTTCCCCTCTGGTCTGTGCAAGAAAGCAATGACATAGCTCAGGACACTGAGCTCCAGGAAAGAGTTCATGGCTATGAATCCTAACTCCCCATGCAAGATAGGCTCAGGCCCCCCCTTTCATTATTTTCCATTGGCTACATGAAGCAGCTGCCTGCTCAGTGATCTGGCTTTCATGAAGCCCTTTCTGAGGCATGTGTGAAAGGCAGGTGTTGCAATGCAGCACTTAAGGCCCTGTCATAGATACGGCTCTGTCTCTGTCTGTGCCTCCACACCTCTGCTGTAAAATGGAGACAGAGCTACCATACCTTCCGGTGAGCCGTGTCTCCATTACTGTCTAGGATGCTTGCATACAGCTACAACAGGGTCCTCACATGTATATTTCTAACTGAAGATCTCACTTGGAGCCAGTCTCAAGGCCCCCTCTAAAAAAATGGAATCCTGCAATATGGATAACTCGTACCAGATTGGTCTGGATTTTCAGAGCTCTGACCTTCCAGATACAGTCTAAAGGCAGTGATTCTCAACCACAGTGCCACCGCACCCAGAGAGTGTCTTTTGAGGGGTCCGTGGTGTGCTGCACACAGTTATTAGCACTGCTAGGTGTGCTCACACCTACATATGATTCACAAGGTAAACACAGAGATTTCAACCAGGAATCTCTAGCATCAAAAACGTTCTGATTTGCTGTGGTCTTGCTGCACTCTTTGCAATAGAAGATTTGCTGTTATTTTCCATGGTCAAAAATATGAGTGAACGCTAAGAGTTGGCATATTCCAAGTGGGGGTCTTGGGTCTAAAGGTCCAAGGGCAAAAGGGACCACCAACTTTTGCAGTCTGACCTCCTACACTGTAGAAAGTTGTCCCACTGGATTAGAGGTCTTAGCAGCTCCCTGCTGTTAGCTAGAGGGCATGTCAGCAGGACAGTACCTTTGCTCCTCAGTGCTGGGCTCCAGGGGTAGCATTTGGTCACTTTTCAGTAATGCCCCCAAAACCTGTGCATTTAGCCTCACAAATTAGTAAGCAGCCCTCCAAGGAGACCCGCTATAAGCTATGTGAGGCCATTAGCTCTATGAGGATTCACAGATTCCAGGGACCACAAGGCTGCAAACTGCACCTGTGTCAAACCCACCAACTCAGGGTTTTGCTATGGCAAGGCTTTTCCATGGCCAGGCGGCCACAATTTAAGCACCTGCCCTGATGAGAGACTGTCACACCTTCCTCCTTAAGCTGTTCCAAGGATTAGTTATCTTTGCTGGTAAAGGTTGTATTTAGTTCCCATTTGAATTAGGCTAACTCCCAGTCACTGTGTCTCATTACACCTTTAGCTACTAAACTAAAGGCTTTGAAGAGTCTCACAGCTAGCTATAGCAGGGCAATGGAACTGACTGAGGCATGAACAAAACGTAGGACTGAGACACGAGTAATTCTGGACAGGAAAGCTCTTCACTAGAAGGCCATGTGGCCAGAGCAGTTTGGCTCAGTCATGGCTTCTTCTCACTGGCAATGAGCCATAGCAGTTCAATCAGGACAGCTAGTGACCCTATTTGTCTTTTTAGGTGCAAGAAACATTGAACTGCCCACCCCCATGGCCAAATCTCCAACCCTGCAAGGGAAAGTCCTGACTTTTGGCAAAAGCCCAGAGCTGCTGGTGACATGGGCAACACTGCGTTTGGCCAGGCACAGCAGATTTAGCTGCTCTGCTTCCGCAGCTTAGAGGTAGCAGGTCTGGGGAGACCTACTTCCTCACCCTATGGCAGCTGTTTGGTGCCATGTTATAGCTAGTGCAGAAACTGCAGAGAGGACAGGACCCTGTCATAATCGGTTGCCTGGGATGTCGGTTTATCTACCACATACTGATGTCAATGTGAACTCTGTCTGATAAAATAAGTGTCTTAAATGTTTCCACCCTCACTGCTTTGGCAAGCACTTCCAGATCTCAGCCTGGTTGTCTGGAGACAAAAGCAGAGAACTGGTGCCACATGGGTTCCTCCCTCCATCCTCAGTAGATCTGCTGTCCTGGGAGTGCTATGCTTTGGGTGTACAGGAATCCTCTACCCCCTCCTTGGGTGCAAGGCTAGCAAGAAAACAGTTGCCAAGCTGGAATGGAAGAGTCTGGCAAGGTCCCAATTTGTATGAATCAC